GGGGAACCCGAGGCCCTACTCTGCATCCTGTGCTTGGCCGAGGCCCCCAGGGCACCAGTGACAGAGTGGGAGACGCCCTGGGGACTCTGTCTACACTCTGGCCTGGGGTGATGGTTCTGGAAAGGGCTGGTGGACTCCTAAATTTGGGGGTCCCCGGGGTCCTCTCACTCAGATCTAGTTCTATCCACGGGAAAATTCTGGGGCTCCATCTTCAGATGACATCTGGGTTCTGACCTCGCCTCTCTACCCCGGTCCGATCCACCAACATCAGCTGGGGCCCTGGTGACAGCAGCCGCCTCCCCCTCCACCCCTTCCCATCCCTGCTCCACGCAGCAGCCGGAGCCACACCAGCTCTCTCCTCTGCTCAAAGCCTCACATGGCTCCCAGCTCACTTGGGGGAAAAACCAAAGTCCTCACTGCCTATGAGGCCCCTCCAAGCTGACAGTACCCAGCTCCCCCTCCTCTCACTGTCCCAGCCCAGGCCTCGTCCCATCCAGGCTGCCCCCACTGCATGGCCTCCTTGCTGTTTCTGGGACACTCCAAGGAGGCTCCCTCCTCAGGGCTTTTGCACGTGCTGTTCCTTCTGCTTGAAACACACTTCCCTCAGACACGGACAAGGCTTCTTTTCTCTCTGTTTAGGTCAATGTCCGCTCCTCAGAGAGGCCCAGCCACCTTAAGGAAATTGCTGTTTCCCATCTCATTCTTCCTATTCCCTTGCTTTTCCCTCATAGCACTTATCACCACCGAACATTGCATTTTACATTTTATGCATGTTTCATGTGTGTGTTTCTTGCCTGCCCTCCCAAGTGGGCCTCATCAGGACAGGACTTCCCATCTGTTTTGTGCTCTGATGGCCCCAGCACCTGGCACACAGTAGGTATCAATTTGTACAGTGAACGTCCAGGGAGGTGTGTGAAGGGTGGGAGGCAGTCTCTCCCAGCCCTGCCCAGCCCCCTCTGTGGCCCCTTGGTCCCCTCTCCTCCTGCCCTCACCCCCTCAGCCCTCCCGGGCAGGACAGGACAGCTAAGCTCCTCCCTCAGGGGAAAGGCTTCCAGCCCCGGGCAGACCCTCCCCCTTCCACCCCTACAAGCTCCACGGGAGCCACACCCTCCCGGAGAGTCCTCAAAAGACAGCGGGCTGGGGGGCCAGACCCATGCTGGGTGTCCCTGGGTGTGCCAGGGACCTGCTCCTGGCTGGCATCCTCATCCTGGGAGAGGCAAGACTGATGAGAGTGGACTGCCCGTGGGGAGTTCCTAAGCTTGTCTCTATTTCACAGAAAAGGAAACTGAGGCTCAGAGAGGTGACTTTCTCTCCAGACAGCTGAAGCCACCGTCCCCTCCTCTTCTGTAAAATGAGAATAATAGCTCCTCCCTCCTAAGGTTGTTGGGAGGATTCAACGAGTGAGAAAAAGCCGTTAAGTACTTGGTAGGGTCTGGCACCCAGTAGGTGCTCAAGGAATGTGGGCTCCACTGCTGTGGTTGTGAGATGCGAACTTCCCTCCCAAGGTCCCACAGCCAGTAGGTGGCCAAGCCAAGATTCAAACCCGGGTCTGTCTGAATCTAAAGGGACACAAAATAATAACAGCACTAGTAATGGCAACAACAACGACCACAATAATAGTAACAGCACCACCACCATTTTCCACCCCAGATGGTAGCTCTAAGGGTTAGATAAGCATGAGGGTACCAGGTGGCAGCACCTGCCCCGCACCCACGGCCCGGACCACCGGCGCCCACTCCTCCTGCCCGCTCGCTGCGCCGCAGGGACAGGCTGGCGGCCAGCACAACCTTGCGCGGGGGGCGCCCCTCATCGCGCCGCCCGGGGAGCCCCCCCGGGGCCGCGAGCGCGGCTCGGGCTCTGGAAGGAGCCGCCGGGCCTGGAAGACATTACACGGCTGTCGGCCGGGGGCGTCGCTCGCAGTTCCGGAGGGGGTCCCGGCGGCGGCCGAGCCGGGCGAGGGGACGGCCCGCCACAAAGCGCGCTTTGTTCTGCGCTCCCCCCGGAGCTGGAACCAATGGATTGGCGGCAGCTGAGGTCATCTGTCAGGCAGCGCCGGGGGTCAGGCCCGGGGAAGGGGCCGCGAGGGAGGGCGGTGGGCGGCGGGGTCCGTGTGGGCGGCCCCTGAGCCGGGCTGGGGCAGAGCCTCTGCGGCGGGTCGCGGCTCCGCTTCGGGCCCCCGTTTACCCGTCTGTCCAACACGACGATGATTTCTGCCCTGTCCACCTCTCGGGACCAGGTATCAAGTATGGAAGCGATGGTGATGATGGCGATGCTGATGGTGATGATGATGATGGCCTATCGGTAACGAGCGCTCCCGCCTTCCTGCTCTGGGGAAGTGTGAGCGTCTGAGCGTTGGGACTCTAACCCCAAAGGCTGGGTCGGAGCACGGAAGCAAATGCGGTTTGCGCCACACGGTGTGTGTGTGTGGGAGGCGGCGCGGTGGCCTTGCGGGCAGCCGGCTTCTGGCCCCGGGGCAGTCGGAGCCTCTTCTTGGTCCCCGGCTTCCACCCTGCGTGCCAGACTTGGCCTGTCTTTTGCCACGGCTGACAGGTGGACCCCTTAGAGCTCATCCTCCAGGCCCCTGGTCCAGGATAGAGCAAGTGCTGGACCGTCCATCCCCTCCCTCCTCCACCTCCAGACAGGCTTTATTATTATTTTTTTTTGCTGAAGCAGTTTCACCCTGAGCTAACATCTGTGCCAGTCTTCCTCTATTTTGTATGTGGGACTCCACCACAGTGTGGCTGATGAGTGGTGTGGGTCCACACCCAGAACTGAGCCCAGGCGACGGAAGAGGAGGGTGCCGAACTTAACTACTAGGCCCGCGGCTGGCCCTTCCAGATAGGTATTTTTGTGACTGGAGGCAGATCAGGGTCTGAACACTTTCCTCTAGTCCCATAAAACTAGATCCCACTTATTCATTCATTCACACCCCGTCTGTGTGCGTCTCAGTGCTCCCATCCCTGTGAGACATTTAGGCTTCGAAACACTCCATACGGGGTCCTGTGGGGGGCGAGGTCACCACGTCCAGGGAGCCCTAGAAATTGCCCCAAATATTTGTGTGTGTTTCTGGAGAAAGGGCTCACGGCGGTCTTTGGATTCTCAACCATGTTCACGACCCCAGAAAGATTAAGAAGCACTGGCTGAGTCAGGGTGGGAAAGCAGCTCCCCAAACTCTGCCTGAGGGAAAGGCACATTGAACAGCCACCCCGGAGGGCAATTGGAACCCCCGATGCCCATGAACAGGAGAAAGACTACAAAATGGTTATATTCAGACCCTGGAATGTGCTGCAGCGATGAAAAGAAGGAGCTAGACCTACGTGGAATTATTCATTCCGCAGATATTTATCGAACACTTATCATACATCAGGCACAGTTTTTGGCACTGGGCCGACAGTGATAAACAAGACAGATCAAGTCTTGCCTCAAGACTCATTCTAGTGGGTGAGACAGACATAAACAGACACGGAAGATCATTTCAGAGAGTGTGAGAAATGCCATGAAGAAAATAAAACTCAGTAGGGTGACAGAATGATGGGGGAGGGGGCTGTTTTAGACAGTGTGGTCAGGGAAGGCCCCTCTGACGAAGTGACCTGAATGAGGAGACTCTGGGAGAAGAGCAAAGACACTAATGGGGTTGATGGCCAGGGCACATGCCAGGCAAGAAATGCGATCTGCAAAGTAATGGGAAAAAGAAAAGCATTCTTTACTTCCACACACATACACCGCTACAAAGTTAGAAAAAGGTCTGGAAGGGTATACACCAAATTCATGAAGGTAGTCGCCCCAAGTAGGGAGGGCACAGGGGCAACCAGGACTGGGGCTGCAACTGGACTCTAATATTTTATTTTTTACATATTTAATTATTTAGCATTTTTATATCTTAATGTCTTAAAGGTGAATATACTCCCATATAACTTGTGAAATTAAAAAAGTCTTAAAAACCTGCCTTAGTGAAGGGGGTGGGTTGCAGGGCAGTGAAAGGCCCAAGGGGTCCCTACACACTGCCTCTCATTGCACCCAAGTTCCTGGGGGGCAGTGGTTTGTCTAGGGAGGGGACACACAGTTGGACTGGGGAGCCCAGAAGAGGCATATGGCTCAGCTTAGAGGATCTGGAAGCTTCTTGGAGGAGGTGCTACCTTTGTTGACCCTGGACCATCTGGCCCAGCACCCCCAGTGTAGACTAGACGACAGGCCTGGAGAGGCCGTGACGTGTGCAAGGCCACAGAGCAAGAGTGGACAGGATAAGCAGAACCTGAAACTCCAGACTCCCAGCCAGGCCCCTCCTCCCAGACCGCTGCTCTGGGGCTGGAAGTCCAGCCCTGCCCCGCAGGCCGGCGAGCGGCGCCACCTGCTGGCGTCAGCGGGAAACGCAGCTCGCGGGCTCCGCTGAGAGCAGCCGGCAGGTCTCGCCCTTCGAAACCCAGCTCCCAACCCCTTCCGCTGCCTAGCAGGGCCCCCAGCGCTACCTGCTCGCGTCTCATCTGCGAGAACGGAAAGCTCTGTCAGGGAGGGGCGAGCACTCTGTCACCCTAGCCCAGCGGATGCAGCAGGTGATCACTTACGGGAGACGGTGGCACTGCACACACCAGTTTACAAAGCCTGTCTTCGGCTTTCTGACCCTCGCTACAAACCTTGGGGGTAGACAGTCCATTTGACAGCTTGTAAGAAGCCCCCAGGGACGGGTTTGTCCAATGTCACATGATGAATGGCTGCGCAAGCCGGTCCCAGAGCACGGATCTCCTGGGACCCAGCCCACCAGGTGTGGAGGGTGTGCCACCACATTCGAAAATAACTGGCGCAGACTAGATCAGGGCTTCTCAGCCTGTGGCCCCTGGACAGCAGCAGCAGCAGCACCTGGGAACTTACTAGAAAAGCCAGTTCTCAGGCTCCACCCCAGACTCACGGAGTCAGCAACTCCGGGGGTGGGGCCCAGCCATCAGAGTTTAAGCAAACCCGTTTGAGAACCTGAACCATTGGTCTAAAAGCAATGACACCCTTCCTTCTATCAAATAAACTTTTATTTGGGAATGATTTTCGATTTACAGAAAAACTGCAAAGATAACACAGGGAGTTCCCATATACTCCGCAGCCAGCCTACCCCAACCTCAGCACTACTCTATGATCATTAACTGAAATCCAGACTTTATTCAGATTTCCAGCTTTTCCACCAATGCTCCTTTTTTTGTTCCAAGACCCAATCCAGGATATCACATTGCATTTGGGACTATGCTCCTTTCAAATTCTATTGGTCGCCTCAGTTGTCTCTCCCTGGACACAGAATGGGTGGGAAAGCTGTCGTCTTCCATACTGAGCTGGGACACTGAGACTCGAAAACACAAGTGACCGAGCTCCCCTGGCAGGGCCCACCTCACTCTGCACCCTCGCTCTGCCTCTCCCTTCCCCCCGGACTCTAGGAATTCAGAAGCCCCTTCGGAGTGTCCCACCGGGCCCACCCCTCCCACCAGTGCAGACAATGAGAGATGCTCCTGCTTGAGTGGAGAGAGCCACCGCACGCCCATCACTAACTCTCCTAGACTGGGGGGCCAGGACAATGGCTGAGAGACCTCAGCCTGGGTGGAGCACAGCCCTGTGTAAAGGAGAGAGAAACGGAGGGGGAAATACTGTTATTTGCCTGTGCAGAATCATGTGTGATAGACGAAAACTGCTGCAAATTCGTTGCAGTTTCTCCCGTTAAGAGGTGTAGCCTGTTTCCCCGCCCCTTGAATTGGGGCCGGCCCTACGATTTGCCCTGATGACAAGAATTGCGCAGAAGGGATGCTGTGCCACTTCTGGGCTCAAACGCCAGGGCCTTGCAGCTCCTCCCCTCACTCTCGGAACCCTGAGGCCATCATGTGAATAAGCCCGAGCTGACTCGCTGGACGGGCCACATGAAGGAGAGCGTGTCACCCAGCCAACAGCCCGCCAACGGCCAGACCAGGGAGTAAGGCTATTGGAGGCCACCCAGCCCCAGTGAAGTGAAGCTGACAGCACGCAGCCCCACAATGACCCCAGGCGAGGTCAGCAGAACCATCCAGATGAGCCCAGCCCAAACGGCCAACCCACAGAACCGTGGGCAAGTAAATGACTTGTTTTTCGCTGCTAAGTTTTGGGCTGGTTTGTTACACAGCAAAGCCTGACTAACTAATGCATGATCCCTCATTTCCCTCTTGGCAGTGGCATCCCAATTTTATTTCAGAAGGCTGCGTGCCAGTCCCAGGAGATGGGATGTGACTGGTCTACTCAACTATGACAATTCTGTTCCTGCTGTCTTAGCTTTCCTTGCAGCTAGAGGTGGCAACGGTAGCTGGTTTGGGCCAAGGAAATATGCAGGGAGAGACAGCAGGAAGCAGGCCTCTGAGAAAGGTTTGACTTTATGAGAGAGGTCGACAAGTCCAGCTGGCTTGGCCTTCCTCATCCCCCACTCCTTTCTTCCTTGAAGACAGACATGATTCCTGGAGGTACAGCAGCCATCCTGTGACCATGAGGTAACAAGCCATGAGGGAAAGGCCAAAAGGATAATAGAAATGTGAGCCCTCCTTTACTGAGTTGTTAAATCAACACCATCAGCCACCTGTCTCCAGAATTCATGCTGTGCGGAAACACAACTTCTCTTTGTCTAGCCACTGTAAGCTAGTTTGTCCTTTACTTGCAGCTGAGTGTATTCCATAAAAATAGGATATATGAAGACAAAAATGCAGCAGGATCCTTGTCTTTGGGAATCTGGAGCCAGCAGCATGTGGCTCTCCAAACCCATCTCCTTTCTCGTGTCATCCTCTCAATAATCCCTCAAGGTCGAGGCCATGACCCCATGACCACAGAGGGAACTGAGGCTCCCACACTGTTCGGCTGTGAGTCCAAGAGCTGGCAAACAGGTGCTGAGAGTCAGAGCCTCCCGGAGGCTTGGAGAGAACGCACCCCTCCTGCGCCCGCTGTGTGGCCCGGCCCACCGGAGGCCACCGCGTCTTCTGGGCTCTTGGGAGCGGTGGCAGGTGCCGAGGAGGCTGCTATTGCAAGTCCGGCGTGGAAGCGCCCAGGTACACCCGCAGGTCTGAGAGAGTCGACTGGACAAGCTTGGCTGGGATGGTCTCCCGCTGCAGCTGCTGGTAGGCCGCATAGCGGTGGCAGCCCCCGAAGGAGTAGAAGTAGTCGCCCCCCCGGGCCCCTTTGATCCAGAGGACGTCGATGGGGGGCACGCTGTCCGGGTCCTCCTGGAAAGAAGGGGCACAGGGTGAGCGCGCAGTGAGCAGAGCTGACTTTGCTAACCTCGTTCCCTCCCGCAGGGCGCTCGCCCTGGCCCGCGCTGGCTTGTGAGAGACGCGTGTTACAGATTCAGGAAGCTTGTGAGCTGTCTGACATCAGCTTGGGACTGTCGCAGTGAGAGTACTGACACCAGGGGAAGAGCCAGCAGAGCAGTACTTTATCCCCTAGACACCAGCTTGTTAACTATTACCAACACAGCACGTGCATCCTACGTATCTGGCACTGTTCTAGACTCCGGGGTGCGGGACCGCCAGAATGAGGCAGGCACAGCCCCTGCCTTCACAGGGCTTCCGTCTAGAGGGGCCGATGGAATGAAGAAGTGAACGGTAATAAACGCGAGGAAGACAGTCCCACAGGTTGACGCTACAGCGACGGGGTTCCTCAAGGCCTCTCCAGTGTGAGATTGGAGCAGAGGCCTGAGCACAGAGGCCCACGGGGGAGGACGGAGAGGTGGAACACTTTAGAGTAAGAACCTGACTGCCGGGTTCAAATCTCAGCTCTGCTGCCTAACGGCTGTGTGACCTCGGGCCTGAAATCTCTTTGTGTCTCAGCTGTTCCATCTGTCAAATGGGGATGAAGAAAACAGACCCATCTCACAGAGCTGTGGGGTTAAATGAGTTCATATGTGTAAAATGCCTTGACCAATGCTTGGTACGAGGAAAGCGCTCAATAACATACGCTGTGAGGGAAGAGCATTCTAGGCAGAGGAACAGCAAACTCTAAAGGTCTGAGGCCAGAACAACTTCACTGGGTTGGAGGCATGGCAAGGAGGCCAGTATGACCAGAGCGGACTCGCCAGGTTGAGGAGTAGACAAGGTCAGAAAAGTCAGCATGAGCCATGCTCTGCAGGTTTGTTTCTAGGAGCAGTGGGCAGGCCCTGCAGCGTCTTAAACAAGGGAGGGTGACATGATCTGATGAATATTCTAGAAAGCTGTCATGGGTGAGCAGGCTCAGTGGGGTGGACAAAGCAAGAGAGGGAGGCCAGAGGTGAGCCTCAGCAGAAGATGCTGGCCCAGATGAGGACATGGAGGGGACAAGAGAGGTGGGCAGGTTTGGGACATGTAGGGGGCAATGCCGAGGGGATGGCTGAAGGGGTGAATGCGAGGAGAAGAGAAAGAGGGGAATCCAAGGGGACTTCTGGTTGGGGGCTGGGCAGCGGGTGGAGATGGGTGGTCCTCTTGGTAGGGAAGGCCTGGGGCAGGACGGGTGGGGGCAGCACTCTGGGGAGGCCGCTGAAGTGGGAGCTGCCAAGCAGGCGTCACGCCACTGGCGGGTGGGTTCTCTCCTATTGTGCTGTTTGGATGGATTCATTTGTCCATTCATTCCAGAAAAGATTATGAAGCAGTAAGGCCCAGCAGTTAGGGGCTGGGGCTCTGGAATCCGGCAAACCTGAATTTGAATCTCAGCTCCTCCACAGAGCAGCTGGGGGACCCTGAGCAAGTGGCCTCGCCTCTCTGAGCACTGTTCCTCACCTGTGAAATGGGAACAGATGCTCTATGGGGCTGCTGAGGAGGAGTCAAGGAGCCAATGCAGGTGAGTCACGGACCACAGCATGCCGGGAAGGGAGCACTACAGAGGGGCAGCTGCGCAGGGCAGGCCTTGTGCTGGGCGCTGGGGACATGATGGCAGGTGGGCAGAGCAACAGCCCCCAAAGCTGGCCACACTCTAATGCCTGGAGCACACGGGACTTTGCAGATGGAATTAACTTAAGCATCTTGAGGTGGGGAGATTATCCTGGGTTATCCGGCTGGGTCTAAGGTAATCACCAGGGTCCTTAAAAGCAGAAGAGAAGCAGAACAGGAGGTCTGAGGTTGCTGGCCTTGAAGATGGAGGAGAGAGGCCACGAGCCAAGGAAATGGGTTGGCCTCTAGAAGCCAGAAAGGCAAGGACATGGCTTCTCCTCCAGGGCCTGCAGAGAAGCATGCAGCCCTGCTGACACCTTGGGAGACCCATTTTGGACTTGCGAAGTGTGGAACCGTATGATGATAAATTTGTGTCGTCTTAAGGCACTAAGCTTCTGGTAACTTGTTAGTGGACACAGAAAACTAATACACAAGGTAAGCAAAGAAGAGCCCTGGGTCTTGCCCTCACAGCAGATGGTTCTAGCATGGGAGACAGGCATCGGAGGGGGCCATTAAAATCCGGAGGGAGGGGCCCGCCCGGTGGCCTAGTGGCTCAGTTCAGTGCCCTCTGCTTCAGGGGCCTGGGTTTGCAGGTTTGGATCCCGGGTGTGGACCGACACCCCTCATCAGCCATGCTGTGGCGGTGACCCACATACAAAGGAGAGGAAGACTGGCACAGATGTTAGCTCCCGGTGAATCTTCCTCAGCAAAAACAAACAAAAAAACCCAGCAGGAGCAGAGCTATGCTGGTGGGCATGCAGGTGGCCCTAATCCAGGCCACCAGGGAAGACAATGCTACAAGAAGGAGTTAGAAACAGTAAAGAAGAGATGGGAGAGTTTTCTTGGCAAGGGAAAAGGCCTGTGCAAAGGCCCAGGGGTGGGAGAGGGGACGCAGGGCTAGATCCTCCACAAAAAGCCAGGCCCCAGGCTGGCATTGAGGAAACAGCCAAGATACAGCCAAGTCCCGGCTCTTGTGGAGCTCACATGAGGTGGGAAGACAGACAATAAAACACGAACAAACAAATGACTCAGGTGGAAATAGCTCAGGTCAAGGGCACAGCGAGAGGGGCCAGGGCTCCGTGAGCAAGGGCGGGCAGGGAGGCGGAGCCCTGACCCAGTGAGGGAGCAGGCCCTGTGGCACAAATCCCAGGACAGAAAGACACCTGGGGGCCCTGTAGAGGGGTTTGGTGGGGCCTCTGGGTCTCACATGGTCACCTTCCAAGGGTGTAGGGGAAGGGGGCACGATGCCATGGAGGCCTCCCCTGACACAGCTTCCCCGCTCCCCCAAAGTTCCCGCCAGGATCACAACGACATTCCTGAACACCCACCCTCGTGATGGGGCTCACCCGTCCTCTCCCAGTTCCAGTTCAAACAGGGCCCTCCCAGCACACAGGACATGCCCAGTCCCACTGCCACTGACTGTCCCATTCAGAAGTGACATCACAGCTTATCTCTGGATAGTGTGGTGGCCGTGCAGCTGGGCTCTGGGGCCAGGCTGTGCCCCTTTCTAAGTGTCTGACTTTGGACAAGTTACTTAAATCCTCTTGTGCCTCAGTTTCCTCCTCTGTAAAAGAAGAACAGAAGTGATATCTATCTCATAGGGCTGCCATAAAAAAGCTAAGACACTTACAACAGCTCCTGGGGGGCCGGCCGAGTGGTTAAGTTCCCGCGCTTTGCTTGGGGCGGGGGGGGGGGGGGGGGGGGCGGCCAGGGTTTCACGGTTCGGATCCTGGGCGCCGACATGGCACCGCTCATCAGGCTACGCTGTGGTGGGGTCCCACATGCCACAACTACAATATACAGCTATGTACAGGAGGGCTTTGGAGAGAAGAAGAGGAAGAAGGGAAAAAAGAAGACTGGCAACAGATGTTAGCTCAGATCTATTAAAAAAAAAAAAAACAGCTCCTGGGTCACTCGAAGAGCTATCTTTATGAGTTAGCGATCCGTATTTTAATGATCTCGTCCAATCCCCTCCTTGCTTAAGTGAGGAAACAGAAGCTCAGACAGGCCCAGCCACCGGTCAAGGTCACACAGCAAACGCTGAGCTCCGGCGGAGCCTTCTCCTGGAACCAGTTCCGTCTCGCGGCCAGCGCAACGTCCCTGCCCGGCGCACCACCCCCTCCGGCCGGCCTCCCCGGGGCCTCACCCGGATCGTGTCCACCAGGCTCTGCACCTTGGCCGGGTCCAGCACGGACGGCAGCGGCCGGATGAGCACGCTCAGAGGCACGTTGTGCACCGCGGCGATGCAGCCCGAGTGGATGCTGCCGCCCGGCGCGGGCCCCTCGGGCGCCCCCCGGTCCCCCGCAGCCCTGCCCGACGCTCCGCCCGCTCGCAGCCCCATCGCGCCGCCGCCGCTACCGCGCCGCCGCCCGGCCTTTATCCGCGGCTGGGCCGTACCATCGCGCGGGCGCCGGGGGCCGGCCGGCCGGGGCTGCTGTCCCCGCCCGCAGCGCGCGGGCCGGGCGCGGGCTCGCCTCCCCTCCGCGCGCCGTCCCGAGTGGGAGCGCCCGGGCCGCTGACTCAGGGTGAGTCTGCAGGGCGGGGGCCGCGCCGGTGACTCAGGCCTGCGGGCGGCGGAGGGGGGAGGGGGCGCGGCGGGACCTGCCGGGCCCGGATGAGTCGGCAGTGGCCGCGGTGCTTGGCCGCCGGCGGTCGGAGCCCTCGTGGTATTAGCCCTGGAGGCGTAATCATACCAACAGCAGCGCTCCGCATCCGGTGCTGTGTCAGGCACTTAGCGTGTGTGTTAACTTATTTAAACTGGCAAAGTAGGTGAGATGACTGTTCCCGTTTTACAGACGGGGAAACTGAGGTGCAGCGAGGTGTAAGTGATTTGCCCAAGGTCACCGAGCTGGGAAGTGGCCGACCCAGGGTTAGAGTCCAGGTCGTCTGGCCCTCGAGGGCACCGTGTTCCCCACCGCTGGCTGCCTCGGTTCAGCAAAACTGCCACAAGGAGCCTTCTGGAATCCTGCTGACAGTGTGGGCACCGCCCTAAAGTTCCACGCTGACTGCGTGCTCGCGTCCTCACCAACCGCTGGGAAGCGGATGTGGTTCTTGAACTGCTTGTCCCAGGGAGGGCAGCTGGAATGAAGGTCAGGTCGCCTGAGCCCAGGGCTCGGCCCTCCACCGCCAGCTGCTTACAGCCGTGGACGCCGAGGCTGCAGGGGGCAGCGGCGCCTGCAGACTGCCAGCCCCACCTGGTCCGCTCAGAGCCCTCTGTCCCCTCGGGACCAGGTTCAGCACCCCGTGTCACCTGGGGTCAGGGCCACGTGGGCAGAGGCCCCTGGCTTAATTCTAGGTGTAGATCAGCATCGATGCCAACATTAGGGCTTCGACACAGATTGGCCTGGCTGTGAGGTCTCAGGCAAGTTGCTTAACCTCTCTGAGGCTCAGCCTTCTCCTCTGTTAAATGGTTGCGGGGAGATTGTGGGGACACTTGGAGAAAAGGGCTGGTGGGGGTCAGAGTGGGGGGTAAATCAGGGCATACATAGGGGTAACCAAGGAAGGTGACTGGTTTTGTCAGGAACACCCGTGGTGCTGAAGGAGAGGCCGTGTCAGAGAGCAGCAGGAAAGGCTGCCTGGAGGAGGGGCCTCCACACTGGAAAGTGGCTTGGTCCTGGAGAGGGAGAGGAGAGAAGTGGTGAGGGTTTAGGGTGTAGGCTCCAGAATCACTTGGATGGCACGGATTTGAATCCTGGCTCTCCCAGCTGCATGACAGCGGGATAGGGGTGAACTTCTCCGTGCCTCAGTTTCTTTGGATTGCCAAGGAGAGTAAATGAGGATAATAGGCTAAGTGTTTAGAAAGGTCCCTGGCACATACAGTGCTGAAGAAAAGGTAGACAGCAGGAGCAACTTGAGCAGAAGCAGGAGGCGGGGCGGTCCACACCCATCTGGACACAGGCGTGTCTGGTCCAGTTTCCTCCGCCCCGTGGTTGGCACCTGCCTGGGGAAGGCATATGCACTGCCCAGCCGGAGACACTGGAGAAGGTAGCCCCAGTGTGTGTGGGGACGGCCACACGGCCAGTTACTGATACCTTCTGACCCTCTGCAAACCGGGGTAATGCCGCCCATCACGCGACCGATGTCGTTTTGAGTGTGAATTGAGAGGACGCGCGTGGCAAGTGCCCTGTGAGTTGTGTAACGTCCTAGTGTGCTGTTGGTCATTCGTGTGGCGTTCTTAGTCACTCGAAAACCTTAGGACACTGAGGTGGTGATGAATTGGACCTGAACCTTTCTTTCTGCTGTTCCAAAATATGACCCCTGGGTGCACCTAAATTGTCCTTTGTTTCAGGAAGTAGAGCTGACGCCCCAGAATTATTGAGAATTAGAGTTTCATCAAGGGGGAAGCTTCCCCTTCTAGAGCCACTTCCTCATTCCAGGAAGCAAGAGGAAGCAGGAGAACAGGTTCTGGAATGGGAGAATGGGTATTTGACCTGAATCGCTCATCCAGGTTTGCCTAGGGAGGCCCCCACTCCTGATATCAAATCTGTGTTTTAAAATACCTGTGGTTCAACTTAGCTTAAACACTAAGAATATTTGTTTTTTCACATAATAAGATGTATGGAGGTAGGTATACCCACGCTTGGCAAAGAGGCAGTTGAATTATGTCGTCAAAGACCCACGTTCTTTCCATCTTTCTGTATCATCATCTTCCGTGTTCTGGTTTTTATCCTCAGGCTTGCCCCTCGTGGTGCAAGATGGCTACTGTAGCTCCAAGCATCACATCACTATACAATAACTTTCGAAGGTGGAAGTTAGGACATCTGTTTGTTTCTCTCTTTTTTTTTTTCCTGCTTGAGGAAGATAAGCCATGAGCTAACATCTGTGCCAGTCTTCCTACACTTTATATGTGTGTCACTGCCTCAGCACGGCTGATGTGTGTTCTAGGTCCGCGCCTGGGATCTGAACCCACAAACCCAGGCCACCAAAGCAGAATGTGCTGACCTTACCCACTATGCCACGGGGCCAGCCCCTGTGCCTCTTTTTAAAAGTGAAGAAACCTTTACTAACCATCCCCTCCCCGTTTCCCAGGAGCCTTTTCCTCCCATCTCATTGGCAAGAATTTTATCAGGTGTCCATTCCTGAACCGGTCCCTGGGAAGGGAGTGGGATGGCCGTGATTGGTGTAGCTTAACTGACACTCAGCTCTGGGCTCAGGAGGGTTTATCCTCCCCTGAAGTTCATGGCCCTGATCCCTGAAGAGAACCGGCGAGGCCTGGGAGCTGTGACCCAGTTTTCCTGTGGGGATCCTCCCTCCCCCACTCTCAGGACGTGTGGTCGGTGGGGCGGACCCCATAGTGGGGGGGCCAGGGGGAAGGGGAGCCGGCCGAGCCAACTGTTGCATCATATTGGCCCATCTGCCCCTTGACCAAGGAGACCGAGACTCAAGTCTCTTGGGAGTAAGAGGCTTGCCTTCCACTGGGGCTAACGTAAGCCTGGAACTGGAAGCTGGAGAAGTTCTGGGAGATACACAACTTCTTTTTGTTTAAGTCTGGATTCTTCCAGAAGTGGACCCTGAGACAAGGACTCATGTGCAGGTGGTTGGTCTGGGAGATGTTCTCGTTACTGTTGCTGTAAGACAAACCACTGCAAAATTCAGTCGCATAAAACCGCCATTTTATTATCCTCCCAGGTCCTGTGGCTGAGCAATTCAGACAGGGCACAGTGGGGACCGCTTGTCTCTGTTCTACAGTGTTTGGGTCATCAGCCGGGAGGCGACTCAACGGCTGGGGCTGGAATCATCGAGAGGTGACGTCACTTCCACCTGTGTCGGATGACACTGCCCGTCAGCCAGAGCCCCTCCATGTGGCCTGGGCTTCCTTGTAGCATGGCAGCCGGCTTCCGAGAGCGAGCGTCCCAAGAGAACCTGGCGGAAGCTTCATGGCCTTTTCCAGTCTGGTCTTGGGGGTCATACAGCATCATTTCTGCAGTGTTCTGTCTGCAGGAGCTGTCACAACACCCTCCCCACCAAGGGAAGGGACAGAGGCTCCATCTCACGATGGGAGGAGGAGCGTGGTTCTAAAAGAGCTTGTCCCCACCGGGGAGATACCATTGTGACCATCTTTGGAAGACACCTCTGCAGTAGGAGGTGACCCCAGGAAGTTCTGGGGAATGGAGAAATGCTGTTAAAGGGTACACTGCTGAGTCGGTTGACCTGGTGGACAACCGAGGCTCACTCCTGCTGGGGACTCAAGAAGCCATACAGTTCTGATGCGTGAGACCCCATGCATCAGAGTCATGCATCAGAGTTCTCCCTCTAAGGGATGGGGGCTGCATATTTATTCCCTAGTTGAGGGTGGCCTGAGGATGTTAAATCGCTGCCCTTTCTGGGCTGCTCTGGACTCGGACCGAGCGAGCCTCTGAGCACTCGCTGATGACGCTGCCTCCCTGTGGTGACCCCAGAGGGGGCCCAAGGGAATAAGGGGCAAGACGTCAATAAATGCCTTGTCTGTCCAAACCAGCCGGCGTCCGTGTTTGTTGTTCGCAGCTGAAGGCCCTCACCGCCTGCTCTCCCCATCCTGCTCCCCGGGCTCCCTGCTCCTCCCCTTCTCTTTCATTTTTGGCAAAGAATCTGGTGCATCAGGCATTCGAGAATGCGGAGGAGTTTCCTGGCTGCTTGGGGAGACGAAAGGATTACTGTGCCACAGAGGGAACATAAATCTCATCTTCCCTGCCCCTGAAGGCTCTTGTCCCTTTCTACAACTGGCTTGCAGCATTCTGCCATGTTGCCCGGTCCCATTCTCCCTTTGAGTTTTCTCGTCCATCTCCTCTTTCTCCCCTTTACTAATCCTCAAGTTCCTGTTCTTATTTTGGGCAGAAAGTTTGCCTCTTTCTTCTGCAGCTTCTGAACACCTCCTTGGGGTCTCGAGGCAGCTTTGCACTTAAACTGCTTCTCCTCTTAGTCTCAAGATGGCTGCCAGTGCCAACTGGGGTAACCTCCTTTGTGTATGTCCTAGTCAGCTCAGGCGGCTGTAACAAAATGCTGGTGACAGGGTGACTTAAACCACGAGCGTTTATTTCTCTCAGTTCTGCAGGCTGGAAGTCCCAGATCAAGGCACCGGCAGATTCCAAATCTGGTGACAGCCCACTTCCTGGTTCATAGATGGCCATCTTCTCGCTGTGTCCTCACATGGTGAAAGGGGTGAAGAGAGCTCTCTGGGGTCTCTTTTTATAAGGGCACTAATCATGTTCACGAGGGCTCCACCCTCATGACCTACTTACCTCCCCAATGCCCCACCTCCTAACACCAGCACACTGAGGATTAGGTTCCAACGTACCAACTTTAGGGGGACACGAACATTCAGTCCATAGCAGTTCACATCCTGGAGAAGAGAGAGAAAACTTCT